ACAGGTATTTCGTGAGTATAAACATGTTATGTAAGTTGTTCATTGGGTTGAACACGCGTTACTCGTAGTGTCTTAGTAAAAACAAGATTCCGGACTGCTTTCATAAACTCTTGCATTCTTACTGCATATATTAGGGGATTGAATATAGAGCTGAAATAATCTGGCACAGAAAATAAGTAAGTGATGCGGAAAAGGACTGCATGGCATAACTTACTCCATAAGCGGTGGAGGAATTAACAGTCCGAATAGCTAAATAAATAGGAAGAATGGTCAGAAAAGAGACCACACTGACTGGAAATAAGGTCACCGTTAGTTTTTCTTCTTTTGAAAGTGTGAGTCCAGTATTAGGATGGTGAGGCTTGTTTTTGCCATTTGAGATGATTATAGCATATGAAACTGTGAGAATGAGAAGGCAGAGAAAAAAGTAAGATGCAGATACATATGGAAATACAGGCGATGCGCGCAAAATAAGAAGAGAAAACATAGATGACAAAATCAACGAGAACAACCAACTTCACAAAATAATCGCGAATATTAGTGAAAGCCCGGTCACTGTTCCCACCAGAAATTCGGACACAGTCAGATTAAGTATTAACGTACTGGGCATGCGTAAGTGACGGTTTCTTGACGTGTAGATGGGAACAGTGAAAGCGTTCAGTAGAAAGATGACAGTAATTTCGACGACACCAATTGCAAACAAGGCTCTTTCGTCGTTTTCTTCCGCATTATCAACAAACATGGTCACGGAAATTCAAAATCCTACATTATTAAGATTTTATATCCCTCCAGTAAAAGACCTCTTGAAAATCAAACAGAGCTGCACGTTTTCAACGTGATGTTGTTTTCGGTTTTGAAAATAAAGCTTGTAGTACTGTTACTTTGATACCGCAATATCTTGTTGATCCTAATGCACGTCGGCCGAAGCAAGATTAAAATATCCTCTCCCCTGGGAGAGCAAAAATGCCCCACTCCAGGGCCAACAGAGACAATTAAATCCACACCTCATGCCCTGCTTTCCTTCCCTCCCCCTGGGTTTCGTCATTCATATCTTTATTACATTGATAAGGATTACAAAAGATATCCAGTGGCAACAAGACCTCAGCAAGCTTGTTAGAGCTTTTCTTCTAGGAGATCTCTCATTCCCTATGTTTTTTCTTCAACAGGTATTGCGTGAGTACGTACATGTAATGTAAGAGGTTATATGGGCTGGACTCGTGTTAAGTTCTAGTGTCTTTGTAGAAACAAGTTTCCTGGCTGCTTTCCTAACCTTTCGCATTCTTACTGCATATATTACGGGATTGACTATATAATTGAACAAATATAGTGCAAAAAAACGAGCAATCGATCCAATAAAATATTTCAGGACAGACTTTACTTGACATATGGGGTGGGATAATATGCCAAATAGTGCGAGGAAAAATGGTTAGAAAAGAGACCACAGTAACTATAAATAAAGTCACCGTTAGTTTCCTCTCTGTTGAAAGAATTGGTCCAGCATTTAATAGCGGAGGGAGGATTGTTTTTTACAGTTGAGATAATTATGACATATGAAACTGTGACAACGACAAGGGTGAGAAAAGTGTGAGATGCATTGACATATGGATGTGCAAGTGATAAGCGCAAATAAAGAGGAGCAATAACAAATGACAAAGTCAGGGAGAACTACCAACTACACAAAATAATGATGAGGTAGTCCCGCTTTCCAACAAGACAATGTCTAAAGGGAAAAGTGTTGCGTGTAACCTCTCTAACGAAATCAATGAAATATTAGCTAATGAATCAACTGGAAATAGCTCTGTCACTGTCAAATACACAAATGATTGCTAGCTGAAAGCCTGTTTAAATTCCAGTTCCCTCTCCAGGTTATCTGGTTCGAATGTTAGTAAAAGTCCGGTCACTGTTCCCACCAGTAAAAGATGACGACAAACTCGATCTAACTCGATGACCAATGCTGCAAACCAGGCTCTTTCTTCTTTTTCAGAAATTATTGTACCTGTCTCACTCCAAACTTTGCAGCATTATTTCATCCTCACCAAGTGTTACGGTGCCCGTTGGTATCCCTCATTTCTAAAGGAAATTTGCAATAAAAGAATACAAAAAAAATTCCGCAATGCTGAGAACAACTTTTGTGGATAAGACTCGTACCTTGGCAATATTTAAGGAACGATTCTTAGCTAGATGACATGGCAATTCGTAGGGGATGTTATTTTAGTTCGATTCTTCCGTTTGTCACTTAAATGGTTGAAATGCAGTTCATAGCTACGGCGGCGCTATCCCCTTTGCCATTCGTTCATCCGTTCAGCCAAAAACGTAATGAAACACTTCATGCCAGAAACGTTTCAAGACTAGCACGCTTCTAATTAAGTTACTTACAATAATCTTTAGATAAGACATACGCTCACGATACTACAATTACAGGCATGACCTTTCAAACCCAGCTAGTGTGCACTGCCTCTAATAATCACTTTTCAGTTAGTACATCTGCTATACCATTTCGCTTCTCCTTTTTGGCTTCGATTTCTGCACTTTTTTATGTTAATCAACGACAGGAAAACTGAGTTAGTTCTGGGAATAAAACAAGACTGAAATTTAAAATTCGTACTACACTGTAGTAGCGAGTTAAAGAGAAAAATGATCGTCTTTATATATCTAGGCATATATAATAACGCTTTTAAAATAGCAGAGTTACCGTAAAGAATCCTTAAACAGGGTTGTCACATGGTTGGTAGAATAGTTTTTCGCGGATTTATTTTATTTTATTTATTTATTTATTTAAAGATCCATGAATGCGAAAAAATACTTCATGTCATGGATCTTTAGAAGGACTTCGAAATCCGCTAAAAAATCATATCCCACTGAAGATTTTTCTCCACATGATATATATCACTGACTATCGTAGAACAAAAAGTAAACAAGTTAAGAACTCTTCGCACTTAAGGTAGTGATATAGCTTCTTTCCCTTGCACTAACTTACCGATTATATCCATGTTCCTTTTTTTTCATACACTGCTTTGTTGCCAGAGTTCAACTTTTTGCATTTATTTCGCAATAACATAGCCCAACTTTAGATCAACTTCTTGACAAAAACATAATCAAACATAGGCAAAGTGCGGCTGAGTCGTTGGAAAACGATACAAATCATGAAAACAATAAGATTTCAAAGCTCAAACTTTACCAGTACGCTGAAGGGATATCTGTTTCAAACAGCAAAACTGTGGAAAGAGCTGGTCGAACTAACAGAGACATGAAAAAAGCCACGACTGCAGCCAAAAGAAGAGGTAAACTTCAGCTTGAACATGGTAAATTAAGTTTATGTTTAAAAAGTCAATATTCGATTCCCTTTTATTTTCATACTTCTTATTATCCTGTTTTACTCGTGTGTATATCTGTAAAATGGATTAGTATTATCATCTGTATAATAAGTCTGTATTCAACTTCTAACCGACTGAGATGTGCATACGTCGATCGTTTTTCTACATGTGGCCAAGAGAGAATGAGCTAAGCTTAGCTCATTCTCTCTTGATGTGGCTGAATGTTTTTATAAACGATGTAAGCTAAATTTATAAATAAACTTATACCTTTCAAATCGCCTTTGTACATTCTGATTTACCTTCTTTACAGTGCAAGGAATCTATGCAGAACTTAAGCCCCATCGTGATAGATATTTTTCCACCGAACGTACTTGTTCGGTTTGTTTCAAATACAAAGATTTTTTATCCGCTCCTTTAGAAAATGTCAACTGAAAGGTAGTTGTTTCACTTAATTGCATTTTTTCGATAACCACAACATTTCAATGAAAGGCTTACTTAAAGAAGTTATAACGATCACTGAAAATGGACACTAAAATGGCTTCAGGGTTTTACCATGTTTTGAGGATTTCGAGACCATCATCGCATTTTTATTGAACTCGCTCACCAACCCACTCTTCCGGACAATTTCTGCTCTTTCGCTCGTTGTTTTTCTCGGTGACGAAGAGCTGATCTTCCCTTTGCGGTACGTAACAATGACTTCTTAAGCCTATAAGTAATTTTGGAGCCCGTCGAAACATTAAGCCTTTAAGATTTTCCTCATTTTCCGGTAACTCAGTTTGTTTGTCTTCTTGCCAAGAAGTTACCCGCATTAGCCTCGCTTTCGCACGAAAACAAGCACTCGCCCTAGGCCGCCCGGGAATACGAAACTTGCCTATTAAGCGGACGTTAAGAATAATGAGGACCCGAGCGACCTCGGAGCAGGGTACGTGATTCCTAGAAAACTAAAACCTAGAGAGACTTTAGAGATGCGACTCAATTTTGCGTCTGTAAGATAATTCGTCATTCACAATCGCATCGTTTTCATTCACATTCCCTTTTAAATGCTGAGATCATTGATGAAAAAAGTGTCAACCATCGCAGTGAAATAAGGATAATGTGACATTTAATATAACTACAATGGAAACCGGTCAATACGGACACCGACGGGACATGCCATAGTGTCCAAATTAACCGAGTTTCCGTGTTTTAGAAAATATAAGTTGTTGAGCTTTTTTCTTTCTTTGGGACAAACGAAACTGTCTTTTGTAGACGGGTGTCCTTAGACGGCTGGGTTCCACTGTACATCAAGGAGACAGTGAGGATTGGAATGGCAAGGAAGCATTAGGATAAACATGCGTACGGAAATGCAAACGTTTTAGCCAATATAATTTCTCCGGAAGTTGTATGTTACTATGAAGTTTAATGTTATATTTTGTTTTCCAACAATGTTTATCAAGTGAGTTTGCGCGCTATTTCTTAATTATTACTTTATTTTACTTCATTTTTTTATTATTATGTCGCCACTCATATCTTTCTTACATTGATTAACTTACAGACGATTCCTAGGCAAGAAGACCTCTGCAATCTTGTTAGCGCTTTTCTAAGGAAATCTCCCATTTCTTATGTTCTTTCTTCAAGAGGTATTGCTTGAGTACGTACATGCAATGTAAGAGGCTGGACTGGCGCTAGTTCTAGTGTCTTAGTACAAAAAAGTTTTCTGGCTGCTTTCCTAAATTCTTGCATTCTTACTGCATATATTAGGGGATTAACCATAGAATTGAAAAGATACAGTGCAAAAAACGACTTACTGATACGGAAAAAGACTGCAGGACATAATTGACTCTTAATTATGCGGTGGGCGATAACATTCCAAATTACCCAAGGCAGAATGGTCAGAAAAGAGACTACAGTAACTATTAATAAAGTCACCGTCAGCTTCCTTTCTGTTGAAAGAGCTGGTCCAGCATTAGGGGAGAGGGGATTGTTTTTTACAGTTGAGATGATTATAACATTTGAAAGTGTGATAATTACAACAATAAGGAAAGTGTAAGTTGCAAATGCATACAGAAACGCTAGCGATGTGCGCAAATAAAGAAGAGCGCTCACAGATGATAAAGTTAAGGCGAACGACCAACTGCACAAAATAATCGTGAGGTAAACACGTTTTCCAACAAGACAATGCCTAAAGGGGAAAACTGTTGCGTGTAACCTCTCTAACGAGATAAGTGAAATATTAGCTAACGAAGCAACTGGGGATAGGTGTGTCAATGTCCAATACACGAATGATTGCCAGCTGAAAGCCTGTTCCTGGTCCCTCTTATCGTTATCTGGTTCTAGTATTGGCAAAAGTCCAACCACTGCTCCCACCAGTAAATCAGTCACAGTAAGATTTATAATCAGGAATGTACTGCGCTTGCGCAGGTGACAGGTTCTTGTGTAGATGGCGAGTGTGAAAGCGTTCAGTAAAAAGACGACAATAATCTCAATGACGGAAGCTGCAAACCAGAATCTTTCTTCTTTTTCAGAAAAAAGTCTACCAGTCTCATTAAAATCTCCCAGCATTCTTGCATAATCACTGAGCGTTACTGTTACTGTGGGTATCCTTCTTTCCTTCAGGAAATTTGCCTTGAACAGGAATACAAACAAAATAGCTTGTTTAGTGAAAAGCAGTCAAAAAAATTAATGTAAGGCAGAAAGAAAAATAAACTAAAATGATTAAAAAAAAAAAAACAATAAAACGACGACGTCTCAACTGGCTCGTAAATGGTGTTGACATGTGTTCTACTGAGTACTCCTAGCAAAGCAAAAAAGCAGGTATATTTTCATCAAAAGTAGAATATTCATAAATAAAAAAAAAGTTAATCTTGCGTTGGTGTATCGCTAAATGGGATTCCCTTATCTATAGCACGTAGTACATCATATCAAATAAAGAGAACTTTTTTCCGAAACTGGAGCGAATCAATAACAAAAGCCTTTTTTCTTCGTAATAGACGATCGATCGATAGAATTGTCTATTGATCACAGCTTTTGACTATTCATATAGAATTCCGTCTTCAGGTGGATCAGTAGCACATGGATGTTGTTAATATCCGTGAGAAGGTTTACTTGTGCCAGTTCGGGGTCACTTTTACCGGAAAATTATAAGTAAGCAACTGAGGAATACCTTGAAGCGTGAAAATTAAGAGGGAGTTTATTTCGCGCATTACGGATTTGCCTCTCGACAACAAATTTTTGAAACTCTTGGATTCCACATGAATGACAACAACGAAAAGTAAAATTACGTTGGCAACATTTAAGGTACGATTCTTAAGTGTTCTAGAAATTCGTAAGGAATGTTATCTTAATTCATATTTTCCGTTTGTCATAAATCATCGACATGGAGTTCATAGCTACGGCGGCGCTATCCCCTTTGCCATTCGTTCATCCGTCCAACCAAAACCTTAGTGTAACACTTTATGCCAGAAACGTTTCAAGGCTTGTACGCTTCAGGTTACTAATAACAAACTTCAGATAAGACTACGTTCACGAGAATACAAGTATGGGCATGACTTTTCAAAAGTAGCTCCCTTGCTTTTGAAAATCACTTTTCTGGTACACCAACTCTTTTGGCCATGCAATCCCCACTTATCCTTTTTGGCTTTTGTACGTACTTTTTGTGTTAATCAACAGTAGAAAACCGAGTAAGCTCGGGGAATATAAACAGAATAATGCTTTTTTGAAGTCGTACTCAAAGTCAAAGAGAAAAAAGGTCGCTAATCATTAGGGCTAACGCTTCTGTAAAGAAAGCACAGTTACCGCAAAGACTCCTTAAACAGA